GACACCTCTGTGTGAACGCAAGCTAAAGGATTACGTAGTTAGCCTGTACATGATGCTTTTGAGTGCTCAGAACGCTCCACATACATTGGCAGAGATCTTTGCTACAACCCTGCAAGGCTGTCCTTAGTGCCATAATGCAGATTTTGGAACGGTGTGATTCAAATCCAGAGCATTAGCTCAGCACAAGCTTTTGCATGTCTACTCAGAAGCAACTCCCACTGATTTCAGCTGGGCTTACTTCCAGGAAGGTGTACATAGGATTGTAGCCTCTGGTCCTATAGACACTTACTTGGGAGTAAGTCCGATTGAAATCACTGGGCTTTCCTTCTGAGTAGACATGTCCTGGACTGCACTCTTATCTTAGCCACTGCTACCTCACCTGTTACGGACTTGACCTGTTAGAGAGAGGGATGGAGACGTTTTCTCACTATATATCAATGGTGGAACTGGAGGATATCCCGTTCTGAGAACCTTAGAGAGATGCTGCCTGCCAGTGTAGACAATATCACAATAGATGGACCAATGGTTGGAATCAGGATCAAGCAGTCTCATTACTCCAAAACAGTAGCTGCCACGTTGCAACTTTGTCTAAGCTGTTCAATTTATGATAATAATTCTACAGGGATAAGGAGTCCAGGAGAAGTTTGCGTACAGTGGTGCCCCGCAAGACGAATGCCTCGCAAGACGAAAAACTCGCTAGACGAAAGGGTTTTCCGTTTTTTGAGTCGTTCCGCAAGACGAATTTCCCTATGGGCTTGCTTCGCAAGACGAAACGTCTTGCGAGTTCTAGCGAGTTTGTTTCCTTTTTCTTAAAGCCGTTAATAAACGCTAAGCCGCTAATAGCCGCTAAGCCGCTAATAGCTGTGCTTTGCAAGACGAAAAAACCGCAAGACGAAGAGACTCGCGGAACGGATTAATTTCGTCTTGCGAGGCACCACTGTACTTTGAACAGGGCCAGGCAGGATTACTATTTTATTATTATTACATTTGTATCCCATTTTCATTTCGTTTCACTTTTGATTTGTCTATCGCCTTTCCATATTGCTATACACAAGGCGGTTTGCAAACTGGAGAAGCAACAAAGTTTACGCACCGTATAACCATCTGACTCAATACAAAGAATTCATAATAAAAACATAACTTAAGAATGAACAACTCGTATCAGATAAAGTAATA